ATATATTTAGGGAAAGTTAGCCTAATATCCGCCCCAAACTATTATGTGCTTAGATCAAGGAGAATAGTAGGTTGAAGATAATTGAATTATGTTCATGATGAAATCAAAAAGTATGCTTCAGGCGAACCTGTCTTTTGGTCAGGGCAGGTTCTATAAGCTTTGTTGCTTTTGCAATTAAGTTGTTCAGTTGTAATGAGACTGAAACCTATTTCTCACTTGGAGAATTGCAACCACTTCAGATTGTGGCTGGGGGCTCACAAGATTGTACTTACTTTAGTGGAATAAAAGCAATATATTTGAGGCAGTTTACAAAACCATAAAAGCAATATAAAGCAAAAGGATATCTTATAATTCTGATGAAAAGCTTTCTTCTGTTAAGAGGATTCATAAAACGTAGCATATAGAAAGTCAGACATCTTTTCAGGGGTGAAATAAGTGTAGAATTTAAAGTAAGTAGGTTCAAAATATTCCCCACTTTTACCCTATATAAGAATGATTATGTAATTCAGAGACATCTACTTTCCGGATCAATTCAGTTTCTTTGTAGAGAAGATTGTACATAACAGAATATCTGTTTTCATTGTAAAAATATATTATTTCATAGCCTATAGCTAATGCTACAAATACAATTTGATGCCAGGAAAAAATAGTCATTTAGTTTTTTTCTTCAAAACCCTAGTATTCTATGATATCTCATGCCACTCTATACCTAGGGAGGGGCATTCAGATTTTGATGTATTTTATTTCTTTTCACATTAGTTCTCTTCAAATAAAGCAAATGCACAAACATATCTGACTGAAAATTCACATTTGTGCTGAAATCAGAATAGCTTGCTGTGACTCACATGCTTATACAAAAGAATAATTTATTTTAATTCTTTGAATAGTGATTTATAGAACTTTTAGAAATAATTATTCCTATAAGCAAAGAGGATTATTTATTTTTTAATGATATCACAGATATATAAACAATTTGAAGTGGCAAACATATCTAATACTTCCTATTTTCTCCACAACAATAACCCTCTGAGGTAGATTGGGCTGAGAGAAAATGACTGGGCCAAAGTGACCCAGCTAGCTTTCATGCCTAAGACAGGACTAGAATTCACAGTCTCCCAGTTTGTAGCCTGGAGCCTTAACCACTAGTCCAAGATGGATCTCTTATGAACTTGTTCTGTCTTCTCTTCATATATATCTATATATATAAAAGCAAAATACCACTCATACATCTTCACAACATCTCCAGAACCGTAAAGCTTACAAACTGCTACCCTTCAAAAAGACCTTGACTATGTATCAGAATGGTCAAACAAATGGCAACTTCAAATCTCAACAAATAAATGCTCTGTCTTATTGGCAAAAAAAATCAGAAAATAAAATACAGGCTGAATAGTCAAGACCTTGTTGATGATCCAAACTCTGTCAAGGATCTTGGAGTACTCATCTCTAATGATCTAAGTGCTAGAGCCCACTGTAACTACATAGCCAAGAAGGCATTAAGAGTTGATAACCTAAACTTATGTAGCTTTTTCTCTGGTAATATTACACTAATAACTAGAACATACAAAACATTTGCTAGACCAATACTTGAATACAGCTCATCAGTCTGGAACCCACATTATGTATCTGATATTAATACAGTTGAGAAAGTCCAGAAATATTTCACAAGAAGAGTTCTCCACTCCTCTGCTCGTTGCAGAATACCTTATGCCACCAGACTTGAAATTCTAGACCTAGAAAACCTAGAACTACACCACCTTCAGTCCGATCTAAGTATAGTATATAAAATTATATATTGCAATGTCCTACCTGTCAATGAATACGTCAGCTTCAACCATAACAATACAAGAGCAAACAATAGATACAAACTCAAGGTTAACCGCACCAAACTTGACTGCAGGAAATACGACTTCAGCAACAGACTGGTCAATGTCTGGAATACCCTACCTGACTGTGATTTCTTCCCCAAACCCCAAAAACCTTAACCTTAGACTGTCTACTATTGACCTCACCCCTTTCCTAAGAGATCTGTAGGGGGCGTGCATAAGCGCACCAACATGCCTACCGTCCCTGTCCTATTGTTTCTTTTATTTTTTATTTTTCTTATATGTACCCATGTATTCATAACTATGTTTTTAGTTATACCTATTATCTTGTAAGCAATTGACAAATAAAATAAATAAAACTTGAAATTTGGCACCTAGGTTCCTCTTGGCTTCTAGGTGCTCACTCAGAAAGGATTTTTCGAAATGACCATCAGAGCATTAGTATTTTATTATTAATTATAATTAGTATTTTAATATTATTATATTATTATTAACATGCTCTGATGCTAAGGAGTTCTACTCCCCCTCCCCTGTTCCAAATGCAAAACACAAGCAGAGGAGAGGAGCTTCAGTTTCCGTTTTAGTTTCACAGCACCAAGCAGTTAGCACAGAGCAGTTTTCCTACTATCATTTAGCTAATGAAAAAATGGTTGGATTTTATCAACTATAAAGTATGTAAATTAGGAGCTATTGAAAAGAGTAGCGGTGCTCTGAAAAATTCCTGATGGTGTACCCCTTTGCAACCATTCTCAGATAACTAACTGGAATATGAACTGCTTTTCAAAAAAAAGTGCTAAAAGGAAAAGGATTTCGATCAAATTCTCATGGATGGCTGCAGAATTCAGAAAAGCATAAATGTGAATATCCCACTTAAAGAAAACAAATGGTAAAGCATAACCAAGAAATTCTAAGGGAATTCTAAAGAACTCTTGAGACTGAGCTAGAAACAAACTAGCATACAATTGAGGATGAGAAAATACGCTTTCCAACATTATGCAGCAATAGCAAGCTATAAAATATATTTAATAAGAATTTAATATAAGAATTTAATAGATCAATATAATATAAAATATATTTTCCAACATGATGCAGCAATAGTGTGTACTTCTTTACTCCATACTTTTACACAATAGCTTTGAGGGGTGGGGGACTCAGGATATTGAACTTTCTTTCTGAGCCATTTAGTTTTTACAATGAACTCAATGGCATCTGCAGTAAATTGTAGGGATTCTAAAATTGTGACACCTACTGTACATAGTAATGAAAATATTGCCATTATGTCCTTACGTCCCAACACCAACTCACGTACAGAAGTCATGTCATTTATATGATGAAGTCATTCTGCACTTTTGTTGTTTGTTCCCTCTTGCCAGTTTCCTCCAAGAGGAACACCCAGGAACATACAACTAATGTCTCTACTCAAATACTTGAGCCAGTTTTTACTTATTTTATAAATGCAGGCAAGCACTGCCTTTAAATCCCATTGATTTCAGTTAAGTGATAGATAAAACACGCTTATCACTGAAAACACCGCTGAAATCAGTGATACTTAACAAGTGTTTAACTTTAGCTGGATCATGAGGGGAGATTTAGAAAATGTCCAAAAGTGATGCAGATTCAATCTGTTTTATTGATCTGCACGATGCACTATAAATATTTATCTCCAGGAACAGAGCATGTTTTAAATTGAGGGTTTTATAATAATGTGTGGGTGGAACTTCAGAACTAATAATACCTCATCTTTGTTCTGAAGATTGAAATATACAGCAGCTTTGAGCCCTGCAAGGGCAAATCTCTCTGGAAGATTGCTCAATCCAAGTCCAGTGAAAGATAAATTAGAGAGAGAGAGAAGAGCCCAGGCCTCAGTGCTGCCCACCAGTGGTTTGGATAGCAGTTAAAACAATCACAGAGTTTAAAATCTCGACCAATTTTAACTACCATAGTTTTTTTTCCTTCCTTGTATTGTGCAACGTCTGTACACTCATACAACACTCAGTGCATTCTTTGTATTGTTTGCACTGTGCAAACAAATAGTTGTTCCCTGGAACTATTTCTTCTTGTACCTATTTTTTCTAGACCTCTTTTATGTTGTTGTTTTTTTAATGATTGTTTCCAGTGTGGCTTCTATGAGAAAAAAAGTACAGACTATTAGCAAAAAAAATTATAAACTCAAGTTGCTAATATGAATGTCTTTATATAAAGCCATTATATAATCATACTGTAAATACACTTTGGGTTGTTTTAGCTTTTCTCTACTGGTAACATCCAAAGATGCCAGAAGCCATAGTGCTATCCTTCTAAATTTGTCCCATTCCAAAATTAATTTGGGTCAATTATAAAAGATTGAAAAGATACAGAAAAAGAGAGAGAAATAAGCGTTGGTGGGGGAGCAAAATTGATGTATAAAAGCTTAGCACATCTATTTTGTTCAAAGGCCTCCAACTCTTCCCCCAAAAAAGCTTTATAAAAGTTCACACATTCAGGTGTTTCCCTACCAAATATGGATTGTAGGAAGGGGTGGAATCAGGCAATTTGTGGATGATGGGCTGTCCAGTTGTGCTTTAAAGATATAATTTAATCTAGTCGGGGTACAGAGGTTCCAGAGCACCTGGCTGAAAAATATTATCTTGATTTGCCTCTCTTTAGATTGAACAGGTGAAGCTTACTGCAAATAGCATAAATTCTGCAACAGGCAGCCCCAGAGTCTATGTGAGCAGAGGAGGCCAGAAGCTTGGCTGAACTTGGAACAAATAGTATTCATGAAAGCACAGCAGCTGAATCTACTTAGTGGTGTTTTCTGCCCAAATCTCTTCTCCTCTCTCTCTCTCTCCCTCTCCCTCCCTCTCATATATATATGCTAATTAACATATTTTATTATTAAATGCATAAAGCCATAATTAAGTAAGATTACCACAAATTGGGTGGCCCAGCCAGTTTCTATTATCTGCCGGTTGCACAGCCCATATCTAAGTGCCAGCATCCAGTTCATCTTTTTCTTCACTGCAGTGTGCTTACAATCCCATGGTTGATTTGGTTGAAGCTGACAGCCAAGAAAAAAACATGCTGCCTTTGGACAGTGTTCTGTTTGAGAGTTGGAAGCGGGGGTGTTGAATGATGCAGTCTGACCAAACCGAAGCTGACTGGCCTTTGCTTCCTTTTCTGTTTTATCTCCAGATGGAAAATGCCTCCAATGCCCCAGTGTTCTTGTCAACCTTATCCGAAGGGGAAGATCTGATCTTTGGAACTCTCTATTCATTCTTTGGTAAGCTTGAGAGGAAGGGAAGCATTTTTGCAAGAAAACAATTTGGAGAGTCTTTCGCCCTGCTGGACGAGGCCAAGGCTTGTATTACTCCACCCCCTCTACCCCTCTACCTTTTAAAGTGATTCAAGTTAGTGATCATTGTGACAATAAATTTGATAGGTTCACTATGGTATGTGCTGGGCAAATTGCTATATTCTTGGGACTGTTCTAACTCTTCTTCCCATCGACTCCTAGCATTGCAAATGTTCTTTTTTATAAAAAAATATTGGGGATTTTGGAATTTGCTTCAAGAAGCATCTTATTTTTTTTTGCAAGTACTTGATTAGTTGGCATGGCTGAAAAATCAATCACAAGGTTTTAAAATCTATCAAGGCAATGCTCCCTAAGAGAGCATCCAGAATTTAAAATCTCTTAAAAATTAAAATCCAGGCATCAGAGTATTTGGTGTTTTTATTATTAAAACTTGTAATAAATGGATAGCAAGTTCCCTTCAGGCTACACATCTCAGTATACATCTCCATCTCAAGCAGAAATACATTGTTTGGGTGTGTATTCAACAAGCAGATGGCCTGAAATCCTCCGTTTTAGCTAGAATAAAACATGATTAATATTTTTAAAAATAAAGCAAAGTTGCTGAACAAGAGGCTGGAAACCATTGTTACCATTTCCCTTCCTCAAATTTAAACTAGAATAGAATAGAATAGAATAGAATGGAATGGAATGGAATGGAATAGAATGGAATGGAATGGACTTTGGAGGTCTTCTAGTCCAACCCCCTGCCTAGGCAGAAAACCTTACACCACTTCAGACAAATGGTTATCCACTTGCTGGAAACACAATTTTCAGGTACCATTATTGCAACAGAGGCCACATCTGTTCAGAAGGGTATCTATTTTGGGTGTGTGTGTGTGAAAAATTAACTAAGAATGGCACCAAGTTTAATTTCCTTTCTGTACCTATTTTATGATGTCACAAAGTCTGTCTGTTAGTGCTTGAGATACTTATGTTCCCTGGACCATCAGAGTTATTTCATTATGAGTAGAATCTGTCTGCCAAGAACTATATATTATCTTTTATAGTATCTCTATGGAAAATTCATTTCAGATACTTTCTGTGTGTAAAATATCTCTATATTTCTCTCCTTTGCCATGAAAAGTTTTACATATGGTTACTTAAAGGGGGGGGGGGGAAAGTATTCTCTTCTCCTTTTTAAAAGAATAATATTATTACTTGTCACAGTGATCTATCTTCCAAATGGAGTGGGAGATGCTACTCATCTCACACTGCAGGCCAAGGATGTGATGTTGTAAAATTTATTTTTATTTTTATTGAGTTTATTTTTCCACCAGTTGCTACTGAGTTATGCTGGCTGTGGGGTCCTTGCCTGTCCCACATGTCATGTTTTAAGGGAAATACAGAAGGTTAAAAACTTTGTCCTGAACATTAGCTGGTGGTAGCAATAATTACCAGATAGTTCCAGAAAGGTGGGCTAAGGGGTATATAGTCAGAGAATATCTAGAAAAGAAGGTTAAGACCTCCTGTCTTTTTACTCGATAGACTAAGTTATTCTAGCCATGTATCATCCCAAAATATAATCATTTATAATCATCTAAATGATGCAATTTTTCTTTTTTAAAAAAAAAAAATCACAAAAGTGTGAGTACAACATGACCTTAACCAACTGCCCTTTTCAGGTTTCTGAGCTAGTCTGAAAAAAAGATATCCACTTTTGAAATCTACTTATTAAAACAGCCATATTTTTTTTACCCCAGGCTTCTTAAGCATTTTCTACCAACTCTTTTGTCAGCCTTGACAAACTTAATTCTTGTGTGTTTAACATATTTACAGATTGCTTTCTAATCCTATTCATCCACATGCCATCAGATCTAGCAACAGCAGACAGGGCATCCTTCGGCAACTAGCAGGCCTCATCACAAATGCATTGTTCCAGGTTTTTCTTTAAACAATGTTTGCCCAATGCCTTGATCAGCAATAGCCTGTCCCCGTGCAGTCTTATTTATTTAGGAGATTTATATTGCGGCCTATTCGCACATGGCGACTCAAGACTGCTTACAAAAATATAAAAACATCACATAAAAAACAATGAAATTAATAAAAGAGAGAATCATATATTTAATAAAATAATAAAATAACCCCCACCCCTTGCCCCGACGACAACACATAATACAAGCTATTTAATGGGCTCCATCCCGCTCTGGCTTCCCTGGGCCCACTGGCAGAACCAGGTCATCAGTGCCTTCCAGAAGAGTGTTAGAGTGGGAGCCGTTCTAATCTCTGGGGGAATGATGTTCCAGAGAGAGGGAGCCACCACAGAGAAGGCCCTTCTTCTAGGTCCCACCAGGTGTATCCCCCTAGGGGATGGGACCCGCAACATTCCTTGCCTCCCCACTCTGGTGGGTCAGGTAGATGTGACCAGCAAGAGATGGTCCCCCAGATAAACTCGTAGCCTGTTCCAGTTTAGTCTAATGGATTGGACACATTTCCCTACAACTAAAAACAACCTGTGGATTACTGAGAACATTGGAGCTAGCCTTCTCCCTGTTATGCTTGTTTTCTATAAACCCTGAAAATTCCCCACCTAATGTAGAAAAATAATAATCACCATTCAATCCTGCAAATTGCAGACAAGTTGATTAGTAGGTATTCCTCCTTCTGGGGGGGAAAAAAAACAGAGTCCGCAGCATCCAGTTATAACTGGACGGATAGAATAGCATTTCAACTGAATGCACAGAAACCCAGCCTTCTGTCTTCCCAGGGACTTGTCTGTTTTAGTCTTCCAGAAGCAGCAGTAGAAATTAATCAGTGACAGTCCTGTCTGCTTCTTGGAGATGCTTAATGATGCATTGAAAAAGGGATCACTGTTGTCAGAGTGAAAAGGGATTGATGGTACCTTGGCAAAAATAACCTCTGAAATGAAAGGATCAACTGGGAATTTGATCAGGCAGGCAATCCAGATCTCAGGGCACAAGTCAACCAGGTCCCATATTATTATTGCTTGATTTTTGTCTTTTAATGAACCCTTAATCCCTTGCATCTGGGTAGAGTCAGGACAACTGAATGGAGCTAAGTGTTTAGTGGCCGGATACCCTTCCTGTTGCCAATGCAGAGTTAACAGCAGATAATTACTCATGGTGCCCAGAGAGAGAAATATCTGCCGCTACCTAGGATCGAACTCACAACCTCCTGATCGTGAGGCCAGAGTTCCACCTCTAGGCCACTGCACCAGTTTCTAGTGTCAATATCTAGCTTGGAAATATGTAGAAATATTTAATGGGGTGTGCCATAAAAATTATTAAAGATACCCATCTTCAAAAAGATGTTGCTCTGGCTACTGTTGCTGCTATTGCTGATGATGATGATCATGATTATTTTTATTTCATCTTCATGTAAAACATCTTGGAAGCAAATTTCTTTGTACTCTTAACCAGGTCACTCTGATCAAGATCAGGTTGTCTATTCAATTTCTGTCTCACTTTTAAGGAATTCTATATTCATATTTGCAGCAAGTACAGCTGAATTCTGCAGTCTGCATACATTAATGAAACTGATAATATTTGCACAGCTTTCTTTTTTGGCGTAGTTTTGTATGTAACATATTACTGTTCCATACTTTTTAGCTGACACAATTGAATACATAATACTTGAGATATAGCTTTTCCATCCATCCCAAAGGGGTCAGATTCCTTTCATCTTTTTTTCCCATCATTGCTGAGCAGTCTTTAATCTCAGTTTCAAATTCTCAAATTCTTCCATTGACAAATTCACATATCTATACTCATAGTCAGTGTAGTGCATGGTTTTCCAACTTTGGCAACGTCAAGAAACATGAACTTCAACTCCCAGAATTCCCAGCCAGCATGGCTGACTAGGGAATTCGGGGAATTGAAATTCATGTGTCTTCAACATGCCAAGGTTGGGGAACCATGATGTAATGGGATATGATATATATAGGGACTCAATTCAACATTATGGATGGATCTTGACAGACTAGAACACTGGGCCATATTTAACAAAATGAAATTCATTGTAGAGAAAAGTAAAGTCCTACACGTGGGCAAGGAAAACCAAAAGTACACATATAGACTGGGTGAAACCAGGCTCAACAGCAGCAACTATGAGAGGGATCTTGGAGTTTTAGTGGACAACCAGCTAAATATGAGCCAGCACTGTGTAGCATCAGCCAAAAAAGCTAATGCAATCCTAAGTTGCATTAACAGAGGGATACAATCAAGATCAAGGGAGGTACTAATACCACTCTATAAAGCCTTAGTAAGACCACACCTAGAGTACTGCATCCAGTTTTGTTCACCACATGATAAAAAAGATGTTGAGATTCTAGAAAAAATACAGAGAAGAGCAACCAAGATGATTAGGGGACTGGAGACTAAAACATATGAATAAAGGTTACAGGAACTGGGCATGGCTAGTCTAGTGAAGAGAAGGACCAGGGGACACATGATAGCAGTCTTCCAATATTTGAGGGGCTGCCACAGAGAGGAAGGGATCGAGCTATTTCCTAAAGCACATGAAGGCCAGACAAGGAATAAAGGATGGAAACTGAACAAGGAGAGATTTAACCTGGGAATAAGGAGAAACTTTCTGACAGAGAACAATCAACCAATGGAACAGAAGTTGCCCTCGGAAATTGTGGGAGCGCCATCACTTGAGACTTTCAAGAAGAGATTGTACTGCCATTTGTCAGAAATGGTGTAGGTCTCCTGCTTGGGCGGGGGATTGGACTAGATGACCTACAAGGTCCCTTCCAACTCTGATTATCTGTTATCTGTTATTAGCAAAAAAGCATATATTTCCCACTGCTCCTGAAAGAACAGACAGCAAATCAGCTTGAGGATCACAGAGAAATTGGTATTGCATATAGCTCTTATTGCTCTTAATTCCACCCCATGCCTCTTAACACCTCCAGCTCACTCAGCCTAATGGTAGGTTCGATCCCAGATACCCCCAGCACCTCCAAGCAT